GTCTGTGCGTCCTTCAATAACACACACACTGATTCCTGTAGGTGGACTCCGGAACCAAGTCCACACAATTCCCCAGATCCCTGTGTTTCATCAAAGCAAGAATTTGTGAGCATCTCTGGGCCCCAGTCATGAGTCACTTAGGCAACCACAAACTATCAGTTTAGTAACTGACCACATGCTGCAACAGTTCAGGAAGGAAATGGAAGGGACTACTGGGAGTGCTAACAGGCTCTGTGACACTCATCAGAAAGATCCCGTTGGGAAGTTAATCATCTCCTTGAAGCTTCTGCAGCCAAAGAGACCTGAGGGCTACAAACACATAACCCAGGACTTTAAGAAGCCTATTCACTCCTCCCTGTTGGAGTATGTGGGCTGGGGTAAGGCAGTGGCCTAACAGATACTGACAGTAGGGCAGCAGGAAGACAGGGAGGGCGTGCAGGACAGGTCAGGCAGATATGGAGAGGGGTCAGATGGTGCTTAAGTGAGAGCAGCCAAGCCACATTGTATGTGAAGAAAGGCCATTCTGTTATATTTCTAGAATATAATTCTGCTGACTGAGTGGCCTATCTTTTATGATCGAACCAAATTCCTCCCAGTTAGATATAAAGCTGGGAGAACTGTCTGCTTGGCAGGTGAATTTGCCATTTCCCAAGGGGTTGAAGGGTGTAGTGTGGAAGGTATGCTAAGGCTTCTAGTCCAGAGCGAGAGGCATTTGGACCTGTGCTTGCTGGGCCCGAGGGCCTAAGAAGAGAATGCTGTCCTGGTGCCCATCACTGGCAGCTGAAGGTGGTGAGTGTAAATGCAGCCTGTCTCTGAAAGTTGATAGTTTTGGGCCTATTAGGATTCTCAAATCCAGTTTATCAGATCAATGTGTGGTGTTGAAAGTCAAGTGTAATTACTCTGGAGCCTTGCTGAGATGCTTTCCTCTTAGAGTCCAAGCCATGGGGTTACATTAGATATGAGATAATTCTATCCAAAAGTTATTTTGCTTGATGAGAAACTAAGTCACTTGGGCGGGGTGTGGTTGCACCCACTGTCCCCAGACCCCACTTGGTTTTCAACAGCCTTCTATGTCCAAACTTCACAATAAGTGAAGTTTGATCTTTTCAATTAAGACTGATTTGACCCTCACCTGGTAATGTCAGGACTAGAAAGCTACTTTTTCTTTCTAAACCACCCACATGACCACTTTCCTGGAATTATGACTTGGAGCAAGTCATGGAGACCACTGCCTGAGTATTGGAGCAAGTGCCAGAAAGATGGTGGTACAAAGAGGGCTGCAGAGATGCAAACCAATTTTTCTGCAAAAGAAAAATTTTCTGTGCCACTATCCATAAGCAAGCAAAGTAATTCCTTTACCCTGTGTCCAGATATGGTGGGTGGGCAAGCCAGGATCCATGAGGGAGGGGAGGTCCCCAGGTCCTATCACATTAGGACTAAAGTGATCTGATAATAAGTTGTCACTGACCACTTGTTATGTGACCAGATTGTGTTAACTATTCACTCGGCGGGGGCTCAAAAACAAGACATCCTCTTCTCAAGACTGTAATTGGAAACCATGGCCCAGGAAACAGTAACTAAATGTTAATTTGTGTGGAAGAGTCTAGAGATGGTGTGAGTTGGAGCAGTCGGAGGTTCAGGAAGGAACGGGGACCATAGAAAGGTGGTGAGCAGGAAGAGCGACAGTCCAGACTTTCTTGGGAAGGATGGGAAAGCTGCAGGGAGCAGGGACTGTGGGGCACCTGGAAGGCCAGGCTGAGGAGCCAACTCATTGTGCCGCAAGTAAGAGCAGTGTGACCTGTAGCCTTAGATCAGTTACATGGGTCTTTCTGTGCCCATGAGCACCAAGAGGCATAAAGTGAGGGACCCATCTAGCGTTTCATGGTGGGGCGAGTAAAAGAGATGGCACTCATAGGTGGGAGGAGCGGGAAGGCAGCTGGCCGAGGCAGGAACTGGATGGCAGAGCCTTCGGGATGGAGTGCTAGGTTCACAGTCATGAAGTTGATAGCAGAGGCAATAGAGATGAATAAAGGGGTTGCCAGCTGGAAGTTGGGCCTGAGTACCTGAAAGGTCAGAGTCCAGGTGCAGAGGTAAATATGGGAGCGGTGGACTGCGTGATAGCAGCTGAGGGCAGTGCCTGACCAACAGCTGAGAACTCTCAAGTTCCTTGAGAGCTGTGTTTTAAAACACAGAAAGAACAAAAGGGAAGAAATGGCACGTGCTGGGGAGTTAAGAGATAATGGGAATGAGGGGCCAAGGAAGACAGGCCTTGGGTCCCACTTACATGGAGGAGTTGCTTTTTAGAGGGGGAAGAGGAAGAGAGCCCTCCCTGACATGGGAAGAGGAACAGCTGCAGAAGCTGTGAGGGTTCAGGGTTTCCAGGGTGTTCTGGGAGTAAGTGAGGTCACTGAGGATGCAGGGAGAGAGGACAGAGGGAGCAAGGCGAGGGAAAGGGGAAGTTCTGGAGAGACAGCTGTGGGGCTGACTGGAGACAGTGAGGGGGAACAGAAGGATCTCCAGGCCCAGGATCACAAAGTGCAGCAAAAGAATGACAAAGTGAACCTGTAATCCCTCAGCTCTATGTCTCCCTCCAAGAGGACTCTGTCTCAGAAGCTGAGTAGTGCAGACACTGCCAGGAGATCCACAGTGGGAACTGAGCTAAGCGCTGGAATGGGTGACACAAAAAGAGACATGGAAGATGGAGTTTAAGTAGGCAGCAGCCCCTTAGGCCAGGAGAGGAGAGGGGGCTGAACAAAGGGAAGGAAATCAAAAGTTCATCCTCCAAGCAAATGTGAACTGAGTGCCTCTGCCAGTCCTGGGAGGCACAGTACAGCCAACGGGAGCTTACCTCTGGGTGGAGGGACAGGCAGGGTGAGTGCTGAGGACCACAGACTGGAACCAGGCAATCTGTGGTCACTTCCCAATTCTGCCACTTACTAGTTCTGAGACCTTGAGCAAGTCACTTAACTTCTCTGTGCTTCTATTTCCTCATCTATAAAATAAGAGTCAACATTAAAGCTGCCTTATGGGGTTGTGGTGAGGACTGAGTTGTGTGTGGGAAATACTTACAGCGTGCCTGGCCCGTGGAATTGCGTGTAAGTATAAATTAGTAGCAGTAGTAATATATCAAATGGGTCTAAGTGCTATGAAAAAGATAAATTAAAAGAGTGTCTGGACGAGGCTGGGTGAAAAGCCTTTGATTAAGCTAGGAAGGTCCAGGAAGGCCTTTCTGAGAGCCTTCCAAGGCCTTCGAATTTTCCAATAGAGCAAATACAATGAAATGCAAAAGAAAGAATAGCAGGTGCAAAGGCCCTGAGGCAGGAATAAGAGTGGCCAGTGCCTCTGGAACATGGAGAACCCGTGAGAATAAAATGTAGAACAAAAGAGGTGGCCGGGCCCAGCTCTGACAGAGCCTGACAGGTCAGGATGAGGAATGTAGTTTTTCCCAACAGCAAAAGGAAGTTTTGGAGGGTTGAAGGGGGAAAGTGATTCAATCCTGTGTGGGATTTGGGGACGATCTCTTTGATACTGTGTGCAGAATGGTCTGCCGGGAACAGGAATGGAATTCCAAGCTCCAAAGGGATGGAGCTTTTCTCTGATGCATGCATGGACTGGAGTAGTCACAGTGGTGTTCCTATGGACTTAATGTGGTTCTGTGCTGGACAGCCTGAGGATGAGGAGCACTGAAGCACCTTCTTTTTATTGTTAGTATTATCATCATTGTTGCACTGGGGGTGCATTGCAGCAGAAGCACTTTTTCATCAGTCCTCCCCACCAAGGGAGAGCCATTCTGGCACAATACCCTTGGTCAGGCCCTGGGAAGGCTATGAAAACAGCCACTGCCCCAAGAAGAGACAGGGATGGGATTGCACCTAAATCCTGCCCACAAAGTAGCATGAGATGGGACCCAGAGTGCAGCAAGGGCCCTGGGGTCTGTGCACTGCCCCTGTCTCCTCCCAGGGGGAGGCCTGGTGCCTGGGCTCCACTCCAAACACTGCTGTGGCTCCTGTGGTTGTCTGGTTCTCCTGAGGCTACTCTGGCCTGGACTGGCTCCAGGACTGCTTTGAGTATGTGCTTTTCGTTGGATCCGCCACTTTCCCAGTTTTCATGACAGGCGGTGTTTCAAGGGGTTATCTCTTTTATTCTCTGTCCTTACTATACCCTCTCCCAAACCCCAGCCTCTGAGCCATTGAGGACACCATCAGAGGACTCGAACTCCTGTCCTTTAGGCCCACTACATGCCCTTCAAACCACAAAGGGCACATGTCTCAGGATGGACAGAGGAGTTCACTGTCACAGGGGCAGGGATAGCTTGTCAGCTTGTCATAGACCACCACAGAAGTGATCTGGAAGAGCACGGAGTGAGCAGAAGTGCCAGCATCGCTGCTGTCCTGTCTAGGGGTACTTGGATTATCTTTGCTGCAGGGAGCATAAACCTGAGCTGAGGAGATGTAAAGAGGCTCAGAACGCCCTGGATCTCCATTGATCTATAGGATGCTCTGCCAAAGCCTGTTGGCTCCGGGACCATGCTAGTGGGCAAGGATGCTGCTCTGTGTCTGCGCGGGCCTGCAAGGCATTCTTACAGCCAGTTTGTGCAGTGTGGCCATAGACCGACTCTCTGATAGGCAGTGTGTCAGCTCATTGACCAGGAATCAAACCTCCATAGGCAACCCTGGCCTCTCCCAGCCCCACAAGATGGTGGCCAGCACTCAGGTTTGCAAGAATGCCATGCCTCGCCCTTAAAAAAAAGTCTCCTTCCTGAAGGACCTGGTCAGCCTGCTGCTGCTTCTCTGCTCCTGCACCCCTTTCCTTTGCCTCTGTCCATCTTTTCACCTTGGCTCTTTCACTGTTTTCTTTTTGTCCCTTGAGCGGGGTAGTACGGACCAGACAGTTGCCAACTCACAGCTGTAGGCTCCAGCAGAAATAGCTATGCTCCCCTCTCTTCTTCACCTTCTCCCCATGCAACCACTCACGGATTTGCTTCCGGCCCTCCCCACCAGCTTACACCAACAACCAGGCGGACATTGCCACCCAGGGATGGTTCATTGGGCTCATGTGCGCCATCGCCCTTCTGGTGCTGATACTGCTCATCGTCTGCTTCATCAAGAGGAGCCGTGGTGGCAAGTACCCAGGTGAGCCGGGTGAGCCGGGTGGGGAGCAATCCTTCCTGTGAGTCTCCAGGCCCTGGCCAGGTCCAGGTCTCTGTCTTCTGCTTCTTCAAACTTGGAATTCCAGTCCAGTGGTCTCCTCTATGCCTCTTAAAGCTACCAGCAGGCTCTTGAGTTAAGTTCACCAGAGAAGAGAGGATGGTGTGTTCCAGAGACAGCATGGAAGGAACCATGGCCTCCTCTCCCCTTAGTGTGCCACCCATCTGCTCAGTAAAGTGGCTTTCTTCAGACTGAACCCCATTATGGGGCCATGTCCTGGGGCAGGGAACTGGACAGAAGCAGCACAGCTATGACAGAGGCTGTGGGGTGGGGCCTCAGTGGGATGAGGACAGTTGCAGGTACCTGTAACTGAGGCTCAGCAGGTCCTGCAAGTGGGGCAGGGAGGGGCTGAGAGGTGACCCTTAGAGGGCTTTGGATTCCTCTAAAGTCTCACGGAGGCATTTCTTTTTTGTAGGCCTCAAGATCCTCCAGCCCAAGTTCAAGGGCAAAGTTAGCAAGATCTCAAAAACAAAATAACAGCAGGCTGGGAGCATGGTCAAGTGGCAGAGTGCTTGCCTAGTATATGCGAGGCCCTGGGTTCAATCCCCTGTTCTGAAAAAGATAAAAAAGCTTGTCCAGTTCAGACAAGCCAAAATCAAAGACAGGGACCTCTGGCATTCTTGTTTCTGAAAACATTGACTGTTTTTCAAACAGATGCCCTCTCATCTGTCTGTAAGGGCATAGGTCAGGTGACAATGACAGGAGACAGGGTAATGGAGGACTTTGAGAGCCAAAGTCCTGCATAACTGCAAAATGAAATTGCTCCCTGCCCCAAAACCCAATCACCAGACCACCACCCCCTAATCCCAGATGCTCCCTCCTCCCCGTCTCCCCCAGGGTTCTCCAAAACTCAACACAAAGGAAATAGAAGGGAGAAGAGATTCCATTTTATTTCCTCCCCTGCCAAGTACCCACAGACCCGAGGATGCTGAAGTCATGCCTCTGCTTAAGTGAGGGAGGGCGGAAGTAGAACTCCTTTCTGGTGAGGGGCATCTTCTTTCACTTCATTTTGCTGCATTGGGAAGGTTTTCTTCTTTAAGAGAGAAAGCCAGAATTAGGGAGAGGTTCAGCTTACCTTGTGAAGTTAAGATTTGGGCAGACTCACTGAATCATCCCCTATCCCAGGTAGAACTGGGCACCTGAGGAAATGTCAGTTAAACTCTGAGCCTGCCTTTGCCCATTAGAAAGTGCCCACTCCAGAGCTAACTTCCTGTCTTCCAACTTCAGGATAAAGTCCCTATTATATCAGAAAGATGAGTGACCTAGGAGCAAGGTGCCTGGGCTCTACTCTTCACTTGTGTCTTCCTGCAGCTACTGATTAGTTCTGTGATCTGTTCTTCACTTCTCAAGACTTCAGTTTCCCTCACCTGAAATGGGGTGATTACCCAGCATCTGTGCTGGATTCCAGGGATACCCAGGGAGATGTAACTCCTCAACATTGCAGCTGGTTTAGAGAAGATAACTGTAGCTCAGCAGGACAGTCCTTGGCTGGCATGTCCACATCCCACTAGGGTTCAAGGAAAGGGAGCAGACCCAAAAGTGGCATCTCATAGTTATAAGGAGTGTTCTCCATCCCAGGGCACTCTGTTAAGAAATACTTGGCCCCTCACCCTTTAGAAGAGAACTAACATTCCCTACAGACACAGGAAATGCATGCAAATAACTATAATACAGAGCGAAATTAAGAAAAGTACAAATGATGGAAGATTTGCCTTTGGCAAAGGAAAGGTCCACAACTCTGAAGTTTGGGAAGACTTCATGGGAAGGTGGGGGACTGTGGGGAGGAAATTTGAGTTGTCAACTGGGATGTGAAGACTCCCAGGAGGAAGAGAGAGAGAGAGGAGGAGGAAGGGGCAGAATCAACTTAGAAGGTGATTGAACTGGGAGAGAACAGCGAGGCATCAATAGTGCTTTATTAAAAGGGTAAGTGTCACTGAGTTCAGGGAGGTGTCTTGGCGCTGCACTCAGTAGAGCCCCGGCGAGCAGGGGTGTATTTCTCAATGCTGCCTTTCTGCTTCTCTTACTGACCAAGTGCGAGAAAAGAAGGATGTTCCCCTGGGCCCTGAAGACCCCAAAGAAGAGGATGGCTCATTTGACTACAGGTGCGTGACTGTCCCCTCACCTCAGCAGCTTGGCTTGGCTCCATGGCCCCTACATCCACATCCACTGGGCTATCGCCTCTGCCTCTCTGGCAGGACCTTGGCAGAGGGCATGACTCAAAGAGCTGAGCGTCCTGATCGTGCCAGGCAAGGCTGCTGTGGCTCACACCTGCTTTCGCTCCTTCTCCTGCACACTCAAATGCACTTGTTTGTATCTTTCTACCTCGCCACTCTGAGGACAATCCTTGGTCCCTTCTGTTGGAAAGTGTGCTCAACTCTCAGGCTTCCCGTCTGCCTGCACCCCACCCCTAACCTGGAAGATGATGATCTAGGGGGGTCACATGGTCTTAAAGCCTCAGAGATAAGAATGTGGAGTCCCCTTCTTCAGCAACCTGGCCACGTCTCTAGGCTCTAGACTGGAACAGGCCTTGGAGATGCACCTGATCTGGTGCCCTGGGTCCCAGCTAAACAGACAGTGACTTGCCCAAACTCCCATGTTCACCCTTCAGTGTGCTAGTGACAGAGCTGGAGAGGACAAGGGTGAACTGTAGCGCTGCTGTCCTACACCCGTGCTTCCTCGCAGATCTGGTCATGCCTTTGATTCTGAGCTTAACAAAGTTGTCAGCTGTCTGTTTGGATGACAAGTATATTCTGAGCTCAGGAATGATGCAGGGTGGATCATAGAATCTCATTCCCAGACCATGTGGGGTAAGAGGAAATGTTTGATCAGAATCCTCCTTCCCCATTCCTACCAGGTTACTATGCAGGCCCAGGTCAGCCCTGTCCTCCACTTACCTCTCCTTTTTCTTTCTGGGCCTCTGCCACTCTGCCCATCAGCAGCCTGGCAAGCAGAATCAAATCAATAGGTGACAGAGCCTCTGCCCACACAGGAGCCTGTCTGGCAGCTTATGGACCACAACCATCCATCCAGCCCCAACATCCCTAGGAGCCTCCCAAAAGGACAGCACAGAGGCTCTCCCCATCTCTGGATGTCCTCAGCTTCCCCAGGGGCTGAGAGCTACTACTGCCCTTCAGTTCCAAAGGCCATGGTGCTTTCTCTCCCAGACCCTGAGAGGGAGAGAACTAGCACTAGGACAAGCTGCCCCCTCCTGCAACTCTCCTCCCACTGGGCAGGACCCCTGCCTCCCACACCTACACTCTGAGGCTAGAAATGCATGCAACAGGAACGTGCCTGGCTCGGTACACACATACACACACACCACTGCTTTGTTCAGGCTCTACAGCATCCATCCTAGAGCCCCCGTTTGGATGAGTTCAAGGGAACCAAACTGGGAAAAGGCTAAAATTAGGTCAGGGGAAGAGCTAGGCATCTAAGGGTACAGGCCTGGGAGCAAGGAGTGTGGCTCCCCTCGCTCCATTCTGTGGGTGCGTTTCTGGACACCTTTGATGGGGCTCTGCCTCCTCTCCTGTGCCTGTCCTTCGGGACCTTGCAGATTTCTGGGAGGCCAGGCTGACAGATAGTTAGGCCAGGCCACCCTTTTATTCAAGCCTCCTGAAGTGAGGTCTGTTCTTCCAGAATGAGGTCCCCTGACCCATTGAGAACCTCCTCAGCACAATAAAGACCTCTTCTCCACCCACCCCACCCCAGGCATCTCTGTCCAGTGGTTGCATTTAACTGAGGTGCCTGGAACCAGGACAAGAATTCTCACAAATCACCTAACATAATCTTCATGCCTTACAGAGAATGGGGCATGTGGAAAAAAAAACAGCAAGTGGGGTGAGGAGCCTGGCAATAAGAATCAGCCAGTCCACAAAGGGAGTTCTACTTCCTGCCCAAACTCAGTGCAATCCTGGAGACCCACTTGCCTCACTCTGCCACTGTCCCTCCTACGGCACTGCCATAAGAGCAAGCAGTTAGGCTGCATTAATGGGCTGCACAGAGGGAGTAGGCTAATGGCTTTCCATCTACTCAGGCTCAGCGCGGGCTCCAGCTCAAGGCCCTCCCCTGACAGCTTTATTGCCAATGCTGCTATTAGAATGCACTGCCTGCTGTAATACCAACCCAGCTGCTTGGTTCCCCACATCAAGTGGGCTGGAGCAGAGGAGGGTGCAGTATGTCTGCTCAGACCACCTGGCACCATTGTGGTCCCACCTGCCAGATCCCAGACCCCCACTGCTGGTCCACAGCTGCCTCCTGCCTGGGAGCCCATGTCACCTGTGAAGTGCAGCCAGCAGCACCTGGTCCCCCCTTCCAGCCTAAAGGGCAGAGTTTCCCAGCCCAGGGGAGGGACGCTGTGCCTGAACAGATGCCGGCTCAGGAGCAGCCCCTGTGTCCTGGGGAGCACAGCAGATAGCCAGGAAGCAAATCAGCTCTTGGGACACAGCCTCTAAGCTCTCCCCACGGAGGAGAGGCCAAAGGACAGGGCCTGGGGGCTCTAAGGGGGCGGGAAGGATGCTGTGGACCTTGCTAATATCTTCCCAAACTCACCTCTCAGAGTTTCTCCCACTGCACCTGTTTGTGAATAAGCTAAGTATCCATGGAAAGCAACACTGAGGCAGAAGTACAGAGGCAGAGGACAGGTCTGTTCCCTTAAGGTCCTGGCTTTTTGTCAGGGCAGGGCCTTGTCCTAAAGAGTCACAGGTCATAAATGGTCTACCTTCTTCCCCCTTGATGGACAGCCTAGGGTGAGATCAAAGGCCACAGGTGACACACCTGGGACTGGAACTCCCAATCCTGACTCTTGCCATCCCACATGATCACATGAGCTGTGGCTCTGACTCTCGTGGGGTGACAATCCTCTGCCAGTTCTTACCACACAGTAGCCCTGTCTCATGGAAAGGACCTCAGGGTAGGAGTCCAGAAGTGTGGCCTCTGGTCCCTGCTCTCCACAAGTGCCCTACCTTACCTCGGGAAAGACATTTGTCCTCTCTAGGCCTCAGTTTCCTCTTGGTAAAATCTTCTGGATTTGGGATGGTAAGGACTGGGTGATCTCTAGGGTACCATTCTCTCTGAGTTGCACAGAGCATGTGCTTAGCAAAAAACCAGCCACCCTGTCCTGCCCTACCTGATCTGGGCTGTGCCACATGGACCAGACTGATTCTCTGTCTTTCTCTGTCCAGTGATGAGGACAACAAGCCCCTGCAGGGCAGCCAGACGTCTCTGGACGGCACCATCAAGCAACAGGAGAGTGACGACAGCTTGGTGGACTATGGTGAAGGTGGCGAGGGGCAGTTCAATGAAGACGGCTCCTTCATTGGCCAATACACTGTCAAAAAGGACAAGGAGGAAACAGAAGGCAACGAGAGCTCAGAGGCCACATCACCTGTCAACGCCATCTATTCTCTGGCCTAGCAGAGCTTCCCCACTCACCCCAGGCGCAGCCACAACTTTGCAAGTGGGAGGAGGGGAGAAAGGGAGATGAAGCCACTGCAGACCTGCCACAAAGTTGCCACCACCTTCAGGGACAAGGGTATAGTATGAGAGTCTGCCAAGCTATGAGGACCAGAGACCACCCAGCTACCCCAACCTCCTCCCAACGACCCCTGAGTGCCACAAGTGTGAGAGAGCCAGAGCCATGACTTATCTCACTAGAGGGGACCCTGGTCCTTTGCCCGATCTTGCAGCTACACTGAGCATTCTACCACACTGCCCATCCTCGACCTCGGCACACATCCACTTCTGTTAGTCATCATACTTTTCATTGTCTTTATTTTTGCTTTATGCATCTTCCCCTCCAGACCAATGCCTCCATTTTCTTTTCCTTTTGAAGAAGTACCTTGAAAAGGAAAAACTAGGTGGATTCTTCTCCCTGGAAGCCACAAAGATAGACAAAAAAGATGGATCCATAACAGAACACACAGAAAAGCTGTAGTATTCAAGCTGCCACTGGGCCAACACTTTTCCAAAGGATGCCTTTCTCGCCATATGTCTCTCTTTGCTCCTGACCCATCTGCCTCGGCCTTGGCCATTGCTGAGCTGGGCTTGGCTCCTTTCTGGAAAATGACAGTATTTTGGCAGGGAGAAGGCAGCCAGGTCTCCTTGCCTCTCTGGTTTGGTCAGGAGGAAAGTTAACCTCTTGCTCCTCGTTCTTACCCCGCCCCTGCCTCTGGAGAGTCTGAGAACGAGCTGCTCTGATGGAAAGAGAAGTTAGAGGAGCAGAAGTGGACACTAATGGGAAGGACATCCACTGCAGTGACTGGGACTCAAGCAGAAGCAAGTCAGGGACTGGTCCCCTGGGAATCATGCACCCCTATGGAGAGAACAGGGCTGGATCTGAACCTCCTTCCTCCCTGTCAGTGAGACCCAGTATGGAGGAGGTAGGACCACACCTGCTATGTCTGGAGTAAGGGTGCCACCCACCTGATCGAGGTCTGTGCCGCTACCCTCAAAGGGGTGTAAACCTGGGGTGCAGGAGCCTGGCTGGCGTGCTTGGAGGTGACAGCACAGCTTCTTCTCTCGTTGCTAGTAGATGTCCTCTCCTTGGTTAATTCTGTCTGATGTTGAGACTTGTGTTTGACATGGCGTGTGAATGGGGACCTGCTGCCCCAAGACTGAGCCTGTTTGTCCTTTCGTTCTGGTACAATGGGGGACCCAGAGGTGGTACCATAATAAGTGCTGTGAGGCCCCTGTTGGGAGAGGACTCAGTGCTCTTCGTATGCCTTATGCAGTTCTGAACTGTCCCTGGACTTTCCCTCCCCAGTCCCTCCCTGCACGCCTTGAGGCCTCCGGTGATGTCTGTCTCGAGATTGGGGCAGCCTATGCAAGTGTCCCCCCAGGACCAGAAGCAGCCACTCCACACACCTTCACCCCATCATTCAAATGGAGATACTCGCAGACCTGCAATTCTCAGCCGGGAGGTGCTGCCTTCATCTCCCCCAGCTAACCCACTTTGAAACCAAAGGTACCCAGCCTCAACGACGCAGGGAGAGGGGGGACCTCAGCCTAAGCATGACCCTGTAGTTGTGCCTAGAGCTCAAAGCGGTTGTGAGAGGCTGAGGCTGAGCACCAGGAATGGATCACCTGCTGCCAGTCTCTAGCTGCTGAACAGGACCAGGGCTGTGTCCTTCAGAGAATTTGTTAAAATATCATTTGCCACATGTTTAAGCCACAGAGGTATTAGCAATGCTTACATCACTTAATAATCACTCAATTGAAGGTCAAGCCCATAGACACACACTCTCTGTCTGCAGAGAAAACAGAGCTCAGAACTGAACCAATAATGTTGCTTGAACCTAAGCGTGTGTGATGGTCCTTTGGTCCGAGGTGTGGCCAGGTCTGCTGCCCAGAGGCCCAACGGGCAGCTCTTACAGTGAAAGGATACAGGGTAAACAGCGTGGGGTACGGGTGAGTGCAGGGTCCCCTCCCCTGTCTGTCCTCCAACACCTGTTTGGATGCAGCTGGGCATTCCTACAGCCTAGGCTACTGTCCCTGAAGGGAAAGGGAGCTGAATTAAAGGACTGGCCTTTCTGGAAAACACTTTGGATCTGAGCAGAGTGGTCAGTTTCTCAGGACCTCATTGTACAACACACTGTCCAGCTAGTAAACTCATGGCACCAAGAGCAGGCTGGGGGGAGTAAGGGACTGTTAGATGTCATCCTAGCCAGCTCCCTGCCTCTGGAAGGTCCACCATACAGGCTGATGACTGGGAAAGGATTCTTCTGTTTTAAGGGTCTTGAAGAGAGGTGAGTTCTCTAGCTGTCTTTGCACTTTGTTCTAGAGTCCTGCTATGTTCTGTACCACCCTCCTTTGTGTGTGAAGAGAAGGCTGTTAGCCCCTCTTCTGGGCTGTTGTTTTGTGGGTGCTGATAACTGCCCCCCATACCATACAATCTCAGCCCTCCAGGTGAGAGCAGATCTGGGGATGAAGAGCTTAAGGCTCCCCAAGCAAAGATAGCAGGTGCTCAGGGAGGTGTGAGGGTTGCATTGTTGAGGAGTCAGCTCATCCCAGAAACAGGAGAGGACACTTTCCCTGGAACCCTTCCAGAGTCCACCCCAGCTCACCCAGAAAGCAGTATTGCCCAGCACTTCTTGCCAGCTGGTTCTCTCAAGCAGCCACCCAAAACATACCAACAATGATGCCAGGTGTGGGCGATACGTTTGGTGCTTCAGCCTGTCTGGCTAGGAGAGGGTGGGAGTAGGTCAGCTTGCAGTGACTCTAGAAGTTCCACAGACTAGGCTACCATCCCACCTATGTACTCCGCCATAGCACTATGGCCGCCTGCAGTCTCATCTGTACACTTATCAAATACTCTTTGAACATTTAGTGTGAACCCAGGCCTGATCCCTAAATCCCATGGTGAGTGAGGTAAGGTGTGACCCCCACATTCACATAGCTGACATTACTGGAACTGAGTCTTGAGAGCGTTTTGTCCTCCATTGCTTAAGCTGCTGATGGCTCTAAGCTGGAAGGGGAGGCTTCCTGGGGGGAACTTGGTCTGTCTGGTCAGCAAGTCTGGAACTGGACAGGGGGGCCAAGACTCCCTGGGTGGAGTGAGGAGCAGTCTTGCTTCAAGAGCCTCTTTGCTCTGCCCCTTGGCTGAGCTGCTTAACCTATCTGTATTTTGGTGCCTCTGTCTTCCCTCCTTTGAATACCTCTCTTCACAGAGGGGCTTGGGTCCATGTGAAGAGCCAGGGTTCGGAAGGCACATTGACGCAGGTCAGGGACAACTGCCTCCCACCTTGCCTGGGGAATGGTGAATGGGACCCATCTTTCTCTGCATTGCTTCTTTGGAGACACTTGAGTGTAAGCTAAAGGGAAGCCGCACTGGCCCATCTCCTCTGCCCCAGTGATGGTGGGGGGAGACACTTGGTCCACCCCTTCCTGCCAAGCCCAGAGGTCTGGAAGTGTCACAAGTCCAAGTCAGCCAGTGCTGACTGCTCACCCTACAAGAGGCATCAGCAATGGGAGATCAGAGAGTGTTTTCCTGACCACAGTCAGCTTTGGGAAGGGAGTGGAAACAGATCCGAGGTGTTTGTGGGTTTTCCAGCTAAAGGACATGCACCCAAACTGCACTGTGCATTCACGCATGCACATGCACTCATACACTGCTTCTTGCAGGGAACAATCCAGATCATGACATGAGTCCATGTCTGTAAAGGGCTGGATGTGGGTATGGTGCACATCTTGCAGGAGAAGGGGAGAGGCCACCAGGTTGGGCTCTATTTGGGTGATTCCTATGGGCAAAGTCTAGAGAAGAGTGATCCCAGTCCCCAGGAGCTGCACAGGCCTCTGCTCTTTTTGGCTCCTCCTGGAGCCCTGTGCTGAAACAGGCCTCAGGGCCTGTTGATGAAGAAGCAGAGCTACAACATGCTTTTGCCTCAGTCTTTAGGAAGCTACTCAGCTGACACTAAAGAGGTTAAGCTTCTCAGGCCTTCTGTGGGAAAGCAGAGGTTCCTAGGATGCCATTCCCCGCTCTTGCCACCTTGGGGTGGGGCAGCCCTCCCACCCAGACACCAGTCCAGCAACCTCTGCCAAACACAAGTCCATGTCTATGGCTAGGTCCACCCAGCTGGGCCCACAGGGTGTTTTATTTCTAGTGAAGCAAAGGATCCTGCATGAGCTTGAATGGTGGCTTAGGAGTAGCATATAGAAGATCCCTGATTCAAAATAAAGTAGGACTCAAACCAGCAAAGCAGTACCATGGAGTGTCAAGATGAGGCTCTGTACCCTGGGAGACATAGGCACGTTGGGCAAGAGACTCCTTTGAACTAGACAGGAAGTTCACACCAGACCTGTGATGTCCCCATCCTGCATGGCTTAAGCCTAGGAAGTACACTTGCTTGTTCTCCTCTTCTCAGAAGAGGCCTTCCTAAGACATATTTATGGGAGGACAGGTAAAGGAGGACAATGACCCAGGGAAGCCAGGAGGCCCACCGAACAGTGTCTCAAGCCACAGCTGAAATCAGTGCTGCTCTTATCAACACATTAGTATTAAGTGGATGTCCCACGATGAGGACGGTAGAAACGAAACAGATATGAAGTCGTCTAGCCTAGGACGGAATCAGATTTCTGCATGTGAAGGAATCTCAGAGCTGATCTAATTGAAATGAGTCATCATACAGGCAAGGAAATAAAAACAGGGAGGCAGAGGGACTTGCTGAGACTGCAGTGCTGGTAAGCAAGGTTAGGATTAGGACTTGAGCTTGGGCCTTCTGAATCCTTGTCCAGTGTTTTTTTCATCTCACTGCAGCTGCCTCCTGGGAAACAAAGGTGATACTTAAGATCTGTTCTGCTGGTTCTCCTGCCATACCTCTCTGCCACTTCTCCAATACTCCCAGGACCTCCCCAAGTGAAAGATGAGTTCAAGATCAGCCTATCTGTGACAGCCTGTGGTTAATCCAGCGTGCAGTTATAGACAGCCCTGGGCCAGTAGACTAGAATGACCAGCTGATTGGTGTTTGTTACTGTGAAGCTTAGACTGTAGCCCCAGAACGGTATCTCTTGCTTCGTCCCATATTGGGTTCTCAGGACACTGTATTTCTCAGAAGTGAGACATGGAGGGTCTCTGGCTATTCTGAGCACACTGCAGGGTACTGAGAGTTTAGCAGGGCCCAGCAAGCCTGCCACCCTGGGATTTGCTGGGCTAGAGTTCAGCAGATATAAAGACTTCAGTGAAGCAATAAACACAAAAGTCTGGGAGAAATATCCAGAATTTTGTGCACTACTGTTTCTTTTTCAAAAATGATGCAGATCAGATAACCCTGACCTGCTTTTTTTTTTTCTGATTCCCAAATGTGATGTCCTTAGTCAGTGTTGTCTCTCTGCCCAGCTCCCTGGCTCTTTGCCAACTTCTCACTCTTCTTGAGCTGAGCATCAGTCACCTGTGACATGGCCACCTTCTGTCTTGGTCCTATCCTATCCCATGCTGGACCCTGGAGGACCTCTTCCCCTTCCCCCACACAGAGATCTCCCCCCACCATTCCAATGTGTTGTTTCCAGTGGGGAAATTTCTTCCCTGTGTCTCCATGGCTTCCCACCTCCCCACACACCCACAAGTTACTCTCGTCTTTGTCTCATTGGTTAAACACTTAACTCTCCATGGCAGACCCTGTTTTAACCCCTCTCACATCAGGTCCTTTCCTTTGGGTGAGTTCTTTTGCATTAATCAACTTTGTCAGCGACAGATGCATATCTGAGGGTGTCACC